TAAAAATGCATTTATCTGATTATGAATAGAATGATAAAGCAAATGGGGTGCAATGTCAATGATCTGGTGACTTAATGATTAGTAAAGCTAGGTGAAGTATTTTGAGAATTCATCCTACTTATTTGCAGGTTTGACATTTAAAAAAAATAAGATGTTATGGTGCTGGAGTCATAGAGCACTTGCCTAGCATGTGTAAGGCACTGGGTTCGATTCTTAGTACCACATATAAATAAATAAAGATTCATTGAAAAAAATAAGTTAAAAAACATTTTAGTGAGTTACTGCTGGATTATTTTTCAAAAAGAAATAAAATAGTTCAGAGACACCCATGGTGTCTTCCTGTGTAATCTGCATTTCAATTCTAAAATTCTGACTACCATTCTAGGCTCATTAGACATGTGCTTCCCGAGGCTCTGGGAGTGTGTGTATCTAGCATACTTCTTCTGGGCTGATCTCGGTTTGCTCTGAACTGTCTTGGTCATGTTTTGGTGGAGTGAACTAAAGGCAAATGTTAGGGCATCTTCCACTATGAAATACACCACTGATTTGTCAGCAGCTGTCTCTGTTGATTTGGGGTCTTGGGAGACCCTTATACTAAGGCTGTGGTAGGGAGAGGATGTAGTCATCCTGTCAGAAGAAGAAACATTGCATTTAACTTAGGCAAGAAGGGCTTTTCTTTTTGACTGCTCAAAAAGATCCCAGTTTTCATTAGGAGGCCACATTGCCAGTGCTCCAGTAGTCTCTCCAGACCGTAGGATTCATCTATACAGAAAAGTTTTGTAATGTGTGGAGATGGGCCATGTCTCTTGAAAGCCTGGGTTCTTAGGGTGGTGGCCCAGGAGAAGGGACTAGGATGGAGAAGGCAGTGCCATGTGACCCATTGGCCTGGACACCTGTATTAAGGCTTTTTGTTCCTCAAATAAGGAGCAGCCACGAAGAGCCCTGTTGATGAGTCTCCCCCTGTGGGATACTTGCTGTGTGGAAATGCACTCAGGAGCCTCCTTGTCTGAGGTTCTGCTAACGCTGGGACACCCTCTGGGGATGCCTTTTGTTTCCCGGAATCCAGGGCATCTCTCCTGGGCACCAGGGCTGGGGAGAGGGTCCCAGTGGCCCCAAGAGTGGCCATGGAGTATGAGAGGCCCTGCTTCAGTGCTCAGGCCCTCCATGCTCACCCTTTCTTTTGGCAGCTGGCTTTCTTGGCCCACCCAGGCCTCTGGGGAAGATGCTCCTCAGGAGCCTTTCCCACATGACCTTGGCCTGGTAGGAGGGTGGCATGAAGCTTGTGATCTGGTGACTTACCTGAATCCTTTGTGTTGATACACTCTCACCCTGGTACTATATCAGCTTTGGTCAGGGTTGAGAGGATAGAAATGGGAGAGACTCTCCCCCAAATCCTCACTGTGTGGCTGGGATCAGCCAGTCTATTTTTAGTCTGCTGACCTCTGTCATTGTGAGTTTTTAATAGAACACCTGAACACATTTTCTGACTTACGGTCTGAGTAGAGATCAGAATATTTGAAACCATCCAAAAAATATGAAACATCAGGTCACTATTTTAATAAATCATTTAGAAATTGAGTAGCAAATTCTAGAACTGATGGAAGGATGGAAAGGAAGTTTTCTCATTTTCACATTAGCAGACTTTTGGTTCTTTTCCTAAATAACATTGCAAACATCCTGCTGGCTCTCCTGGAGAGGGAGTTAACTTGAACTGCAGGAGAGAGTTCCAAGGCCCTCCGAGCTTTCAGCTCAAATCTCCTGTTTTCACAAGGCCTTTCTGTTCCCCAGTGTGGCAGAATTAATCCAAATATGAGGAGCACTTGGCTAACAATCCCGATGGGTCTGGCAGAAGAAATGCTAGTCTGTTTATGCTGCCCAGGACATAGCTTTGGGCCCCAGAGCTCTGGGCCAGGCATGGGCTTATGGGCCTTCAAGAGTGCACTTGCCACTCAACACCAGATCATGAGGCCTGGAGCCCTGTTGTGTGGTGTCAGATGCCCCCTTGCCATGGAGGGGACCCAGAGGTGGAAGAGCTGGGATCCTCCAAGTACTTCCTTATCCCTGGTGCCACCTACTGTCTGTCTGCCAAGCTTCCCTTGGTGGCAGCATTTCACCCCTGTGCCCTTGAGGAGCACTGTCCCCTGGGACGGGGCAAAGAGGCTCTTCACTGATGCCACCTGCTCCTTTCCTCTCCCTCTCAGCTCTGAGAATGGTATGCTTTGGCCTGTATCTTGGGATTCACAGGAACCCAGTCACCTTGGCCCACCTTTGAGTTGTGCCAAAAGCTGGCTACAGTTCTGCACTAAGCCCTGGATTATGGTCACAGGTGACACACTGTATATATTGCCATTTTTCTCCAATGTATTCTTGACATGAGGCTTTTTGCTGGCTCATCGTAACAGCCTCTTTTAATTTTCTCTAAAACAACCTCAGTGCCCGGATATTCAGCCCATTCAATGGTCCCTTGTTTCCTAGATCCTGCACTGGTCAGGAACCATAAATCCATGGTCAATACACAGGCGCATCTGTGTGACTACCCTTTTGCTAATCTCTCTCTCACACACATATTTTTATTGACCATCTGCCAGGGGCCAGGCTCTCTACACCTCTTATCTTGAATTTTTACCAAGATCTCAAAGATAGAGACTATTGTTACCATTTTCTAGATGTGGCACTTGAGACTGGGAGAAGTTAAGACATGTCAGAATATTGCTGTTAAACAACGCATACGGAGCCCTATAGGTTCCAGATCCTGAGTATGTTCCACAGCACCATCATCCCAGAGGGCCTTGTATCCAGTGGACAGGGCATTGTCTTGCATTCATAGGCATCCAAAAGCCCTTGGCTCTCATTTTTCTGGCCTTTCACAGAGGCATCTGCCAAATGACACCTGCCATCCCATGTGACGTGTGGAGGTAGGTTATGTGATGAAGACTCAGTCCATGTCTCAGCCTGAAGAATCGTCAGCAGAGGTGCCTTCCCCCTCTGACCCCAGAAGAACATCTAGTTTTGGGCCTAGCCTTTCAACCTCAGGAGTGTGTGTTTCTGTATTGATGGCCTCAGTGCCCTTGAGGTGGCTGTGGTGAAGCACCAGCTCTTTCTTTTCTAATCTGTTGAGGACTGTTACTTAAAAAAACAAAATAAAACAAAACAACAACAACAAAAAAATAGAAATGTCGCCACCATGCCAAATTGCTGTAAAAGTTTCCCTGCTTGCTCTCAGCTTCTGTACTGATCTCACTGTGGGTTGGTGCAATAAATGGTTGTGGCCCCAGACTGGCCTCTGGATGCATCTTGAATAGTACTCTACCGTGTAATTTAGGGGAGGCATAGACTTCAGAAGAGAAATGTCATTTCTATAAGCCACAATTTTAAAGTAAACTTAAATTTAGAGTAATAGATAGTGTCTCTGTTCAACATTATAATTTTTAATATTATATCTACTTTTTAAAATTACAAAAGCAACTCATGCTGAGAGCAAAAATCTACATGGTACAAAAATTTTCAAACTAAAAATATTCTCCTTACTCTCAGCTCCACCCTCCAAATAACTATTATCAATTCTTAAGTTTGAATGCTCATCTCATATTCAAGGAAGAAGGGTGTGGATCAAGATTTATGAAGAGGGAAAGGGGTGGGAGAGGCATTTCAGAAATTCACCCCTATCTTTCACCAGTTATAAAAATCAAACTCAAAATGGATTAAAGACTTAAGTGTAAGACCTGAAACTGAAACCATGAGAAGAAAACTCAGGGGAAATGTTTCAGGACATTGGAATGGGCAAGGATTTTTTTTGGACAAGACCCCAAAAGCACAGAAATGAAAGCAAAAATAGACAAATGGGACTATATCAAACTAAAAGTTTCTACACAGCAAGAATGATCATAAGAATGAAGAGACAACCATAGAATGAGAGAAAATATTTGTAAACTACATCTGACAATGGGCTAATATCCAGAATATATAATGCACTTATTAGTTAGTACAGCTATCATGGAAAACAGCATGGAGAGTCCTCAAAAATGAGATACAGAACTGCCCTAGGATCCGGCAGTCCCCACTACTGGGTATAGATCCGGAGGACATAAAGTCAGCCTGTGGAAGAGACGTCCACATGCCCAAGTTCACTACAGCTCTGGTCACAACAGCCAGGAAGGGGAAATACCTAGGTACCCATCAACTGATGAACAGATGAGGAAAATGTGGTACCTACACACAATTACTACACAACCGTAAAAAAGAAGGAACTCCTGTCATTTGCCACAACACAGATGGAACTGGAGATCACTATGTTAGGAGAAATAAGCCAGAGCCAGGTGTGGATGCACGTCTGGAATCCCAGTGACTCAGAAGGCTGAGTCAGGAGGATCGCAAGTTCAAGAACAGCCTCAGCAACTTAGTGAGACCCTGTCTCAAAATAAAAAGTTAAAAAGTGGGCAGGGGATGTAGCTCAGTAGTAGAGTACCCCTAGGTTCAATCGCCAGACTGGGCAAAAAAACAAACAAACAAACAAAAAAAACCCCAGAAACACAAATACCACCGAGGCTCTGTGAGTGGGCAGAGGGATGGGGAAAAGCTGATCAGGGGCTACTAAGTCACTGTTAGAATGAAGATGTCTGGCCTGCTATTGCACAGTGGGGTGACATTATATGTAATAACTGTGTACTGTATATATCAGCTAAAAAAAGGGTTTCAATTTTTTTTCCACCATAAAGTAATGACAAATGAGAAGATAAGTGTGTTTAACCTGGATTAAACATTACACAATGTATAGATGTATTGAATTTTTGTATGGTGCCCCATCAATATGTAAAATTTTAATGTTTTATGTGTTAAAATTAATTTAAAAACGAAAATTATCCTTTTTTTTTTTTTTACTTTCTTTCTTTCACAGGGAAAGTACAACTTTAATGAATGTGTGTGTCTCTGTAGATCTAAAGCAACATGACAGCTGTCTTTGACATCCAGTATTTTCTAATATGGATTCTCTTTTCTTGCAGAGCCAGATCACACTAATGGACATCCCTGTGTTTAAAGCCATCCAGCCGGAGGTCTGTACTGCATCCTATATTCTCTCCCAGTGCTGTGGCTGGGAAGGGAGGGTCTGGTTAGCCTCTTAGGATATTCAGTCCCCGGCTTCACTCTTGAAGTCTCTGGATCCATGTTATCTATTTAAACTGCTTCCTGTTCTTGCTGGTACTGTTCTCTGAGCCAGGTGTTTGGGTTCTACAGAGAATGCCACCTGTCTGGCCTGTTCTGGGCCTGCATGGGTACACCCCTTCTTTCCCAGGCTGCCCCTGCCAAAGATGTCCACTGTCAATAAGGTCCTGGAACAGAATGTTTTCTAGAAAACTTTCATTTACTGATCCTAGATGCTAGTGATTGCCTTGTTTCTAAAACCAGTTGCCACAGCAGAGCAAATACAATTTACATTAAAAGCAAATGTCTAGTTTTAGAAACAATAAAAGGAAAAGAGTTGATTTTGATCTTTAAGAACAAACATACTTGGAAATGTCTGGCTATTGGTAATGAGGCTCTAGTTATTTCATTTAGGGTTTTTTTTTTTTGTGTGTGTGTGTGGGGGGCAAGTAATAGGTATCCATTTCCAAGTAGTTACGTAGACAAAAGAGAAATTTATTCCAACAATACCATGGCACTTCACAGAATCATCTGTGGCCATAGAGTTCAGGCAGCAGACCACAGCTCTTCCCCAGTTCAGGCAGCCTGGCGAGTCCCCACGACATGGACAGTCCCTGCTTCCCTTGTCTTCTCTCTTGCCCTCTCCTCTATGTACACAAGGCCCAACTTGACCTCTCCAAAGTGCCCATGTTTACACAATCCCTATTTAAGCTGATGTCTGAGACTGAGGCCAGCAACTCTATTCAGCCCTGTTTCATCATGTGTCTAGTGCTGGTACAGTTACCTGATGACAGCAGGACATGATCAAGACTAGCAAACATGCTGATGAACCCAGGTCCAGGAGTGAGGTGCAGATTCAGAGAAGGGGGTGTGGTGGGGAGATAGGTCAATAGTTGCTGTGGCTATGGTGTGCATCCCAGAGCACTCTTATCACTGCAGTCCAGTGACTGCCAAGACTTCTAGAAGGACTCTGTACTCCAATACCAAGCCAGAGCACCCAGGCCCTCCAAGAGCTGGCACCACTCACTGCAAATCAGGAAGCACCAGCCCTGCTGGCTGCACTTGTCTTGGACGTGAAGATGTGGCACTGGCCTTGTGTGCCATGTTCTTGGGGTTTGGGGAGCAGAGCTATGTGTGCTGAACTGGCTGCCTTGATTGTTTCCTGCTTTTGCAACATGGAGTGATTCATTCTTTCTACAGCAGCTCACTACCTCTTGGAGCCTTTGGGTGAAGTAGTTGTGTGGTAGTTGCCTTACTCTTAGTGGAAGTTATTTCTGATCACATTCTCTACTGAGCTTCAGTCTGTAACAGTTTAGGCATTTGGGGCTTTGTTCTTTGTTCTGAATGTCAAGGGCAGCATCCAGCCTCCTGGGAGACTGACTCCACTGTCCAGACTGACTGAAAGGGGGAAGCAGGTGGCTGGGATAGGGGATTCTTCCTCTTCAGAGGCACAGCCAGGGACAGACCATAGCTCTTCCCCAGTGTGGCACATCTTGTTTAAAGTTATGAAAAGACATTAAACTGGAGTTGTTTTGCCTTCAAGAGTTTAGTTTGGAAGGGGTTCTTAGTCAGGACTGCTCCTCTGAATCAACTGGGCGGCATTTGAAATGTAAGGTACCCAGATCTCATCCTAGACATGGAATCTGGATCTATGAATTGGGGTCTGGAACCCAGTCAGCCCTACTTTATAAAGATTTTCCAGGTGATTCTGATGCAGAGTAAGGATTCAGAACTAATTACTTTGAGGTATCTGGAGAAACTCCAGATTTGAATATCTTAAAACAGGTTAGCTAAAATGAAAGAATTTGTTCCTCATTGTCAAACCATTGTTAAAAGAAAGACCCTTGGAGCTTCCCCAGCTGTTCTTTGTTTTTTTTTGTTTTTTTTTTTTTTTTTTTGCTGCTGTTATTATTATTAGCAGACTGAAAACTAGAATTTTTCCTCTTGGGGATGTTGCCATATTGTGGCTGGACTACCCAGAGTGGGAAGGACACGAATAAGAGGCCGCTGTAAGTTTGATGTAGGCAAGACTTCCCAGGAGGTAGAGGCCAGCATCTGAGGGTGTACATTTGGAGTGACCTGAGCTCTCAAGAGATCAAGAGACCTGTAGACAGGGGCCTTTTAACCCCGGTTATGCCTCAGAATCAGGGTATATCTGTAAAAGCGCGCGTCCCTGCGCGCACGTGTGTGCGCACACACACACACACCCCTCTCAGATGCCTTCACCATAAATAAATAAATAAATAAATAAATCTGACTTCATAGATTTAGATTTGGGGCTGGGTATCTGTTTTTGAACAACTCACCAGTGATGCACAAAAATGAGAATCAGGCATGTAGGTGATTTTAAGATTGATAGCTATTTGCTTTGTGAAATCCTGACTTCTTAAAGAATTATCCTGCCTATTTGTTGGCTAAGACTTCTCTCAGATCAGCCCCACATAGATTATAAGAGTAATATGGGCCATGGACTGTATTGCCAGGACTTGACCTAATCTTGTCTGAGTCCAGAACCTACTAGTACAGGGCTGTGACTCCCACCTCTTGGTTTGAATTCAGCCATCATACCAGGACTCCTTTGTCCAGGAAATATAGTTTATGAGCCCTTCCTAGGTCTACAAGATCCTTCCTAAATGGGGGTATTAATGCTGGCTGTGTTTAGAGGTGGTGATGTGGATGTTTGGGGTTCCCTGGAAGGCTTCAGCCCCTCCTCCTAGTGGGTCATTTTGCTGGCCAACTTCAGGCCTCTGCTTCCTCCATCCTCCCCCTTGGGGAGTTGTTGTCATGAGGAGCTGGGGGTGCTTAGCTTGAAAAAAGAAGGGATATGATTACTTCTTCTGGAGATGTGAGAGGCTTTGAGCAGGCTGTGCAGAGCTACAGTGACACCTGGATGTTTTGGGAAGGCACTGGTGATGGACCTGGAGCAAAGGTGGTTTGTGTTGTGGGTTAGCATGCACAGAGCTGTGTCTAGGAGACCTGCAGTGAATGGGGAGGTGGGAGAACCTTGAGTGTGACAAGAAATCCCCCAGCCCTGGGAGGCCTTGAATCTTGGTGCTTCCAGGAAAGTGTCTCCCTGTGGTGGAGTGCTGGGCAGAGTCCTTGCCCACTCACCATCCCTTTCTGTCTCAGGTTGATCGGCCAGTCCTCCGTATCTGAATACCCCATGGCTCATTGCCTGAGCACAGGTTTAGAAATGGGTGGGTGCTGCTGTGGAGTCTGTTCTTGGGAGGCCTGGGCTGTGTGCAGGCTCTAGACCAGGCACCTTGGATGCAGGATTGCATTTGATCCTCACAACCACTTTATGATGCCCTTGCTATTGCAGTCTTCATCTTTTACATGAGAGAATGGAAGGATGTACTAGAACCTGCTTCGTGCTTATCATGTGAACCCCCCATCGCTGTGTAACAAGTCACCCCCAAGCTGAGCACCTTAAAACAATACGTATTTATCATGTCTCAGTTCTGTGTGTGAAGAACCCAGGAGTGGCCTGGCTGGGTAGTCCTGGCTCAGGGCCCCCAGGAGTTGTAGTCAAGATGTCTACTGGGACTGTAGTCAGTCAAGGGCTCAGCTGGGGCTGGTGATCTGCTTCTGTGGTGGTGACCACACAATGCCTGGCAATCTAGTCCTGGCTGTTGGAAGGAGGCCTCAGTTCTTTGCCATGTAGGTCTTCCATAGAGCCTCTTGAGTGTCCTCCTGGCATACCAACTGAATTTCCCTAGAGTATGAGATCCAAGACAGCAAGGTAGAAGCCACCCTGTCATTCCCATAGCACCCTGTTGGTTTCACAGAGCAGCCCTATCCAGTGAGGGAAGGGACACCCAAGGGCAGAACACTGGGAAGGGGAATCACCGTGTGTGGAGGGGGCATCATGGAGATGCCCAACACAGGCACCCAGGTCAAAGGGTCAAATTCAGGTGGTCAGTCTTATTCTAGAACTTCAGTAATGAGCTATGGGACCACTGGTAAATAAATCACCTTTCTGAGTTTCAGTCCTCACCCATAGAATGGAGATGGCAAATGTCTCCCTTGTATAGTTATTTGGAGAATTAAATGAGAAATGCATGTAAAGCACATAGCCCAGAGCCCAGGGCCCAGTAAACTTTAACCATAGCCACTTCTGGATGTGTGGTGTGTGCCAGGTGTGCTAACTGCAGACTTCACCAGTGTCGCCTTATCCACTCCTGAACTTACCCTAGAATTTGCATGGTAAGTTCATTTACAGATGGAGCAGGTTAGGCACAGGGAGAGGATGTAAGTGTTGAGAGGCTTATCCCGTGAGGAAGTGAGTGCAGCGAGGCTTGAACCCTGGCAGCAGGACACAGCGCTTATAGCTATTGTTATTGCTTATTGCTATTTCTGTTGTTGCTGCTGTGACTACTATTGTCACCCACCAGAACACCTTTGTGTCAGTCTCTGGCTTTCTCTAGGACAAATGCCTCCTTGCTTCAGCCCCGACCCTGTAGCTGTTCCGTCTTTTTGCCTCTTCAGTGGTGGTGGTGTCTGTTTGGGGTAAGCGGTCTCTCGATCATCATGAACTTGTGGATTCTTACCCGACTTGTATATTTAAATCTTTTTAGTTACCCCCATTTTTTTAAAGCATAAGTTGCCCTATCTTTGACCAAAGGGAGCCCTTTGATGTTGGCTCCTGAATCCTTTTAAATCTTGTTGGTTTGTGATAGCTTCATTGCTTTCTGGCTCAGTAAGACTCCCAGGGTAATGTTGTATATTTCCTGCTGTGGATCTGGGGTCAGGCCTTCCTTTGGGGGTGTGGGTTTCTTTTGTTTTGAATGATTCATAGAAACTACAATCTGGGTGAGCTGCTAAGGCTACTGAGTTGCCATTACTTTTGGGTATTTTTGGTGGACAGAACTAGGAAATAATTATTTTTTTAAAGGAAAAAAGCCATGACTCC